AGTCTTATTTCTTACTAATATTGTAAATATTTGGACGTTTGTATGGATGTTTGTTAGAAGGTATCTCTAGAACGGCTACATCTCGCTGAAATTTGGCATAAATGTAGAACATAATCTGGAAGAACACATAAGTTGAGTTTTTTTTCGCGCGAATGGAGTCGCGAGCGATAGCTAGTTTTATTATAAATATTAACCCTTCCGCTCTTTTACAACTATAAAGAATTTTTCATAGAATTCTACGTAGTATGGAAAATAAATTAATGGAAAAAAACCTTCCCATACAACGACTTTGTACTTTAAAAGCAACGGATAAACGTTACATTATGTATAATTAATTTAACCGCAATATAATATAAACGATTGATTATCGCGTTTGTAAGACATAATCGTATTATTCCAATTTAAATATTTTGCCTTTAAAACACGTTACAATGACGATAACGATCATTTAATATATACGAATGCGGATAATCTGACTAATATTGTACATGAGAATGATTGGATGGATGTTTGTAAAAATATATCTCCAGAACAGCTGGATCTCTTTGAAATTTGACATCGATGTAGAATCTGAAAGAACTACTTATTAAAAATAGTCGCAGGCGACAGCTAGTATTGTACATTTATTTTCTTACATTCAGTTCTTTTTTTAGAAAACGTTATGTCGATTGAAAGATTAAAATGGTATTATTTTATTAATATAATTCCTTAATTTATGTGTTAAGATAAAATAAATACTTGTTATGACCAAGTCACGCTTGATTTTTTTCCATCACGATACAGTACTTAATTTTTTATTTAGAAAAATGCATAAATACAGAACTCACGTATTAAATTATATCAATTCTCGCACCACAGAGTTAAGTATCATGATCTTAATCAGGAGATTTACATATGAAATCTTAAAAAGCATATGAAAATTTGACAACAAAAAACTAGCAATCATACATAATTTTTAAATAATATATTTTTCGTAAAATTTTGTTTCAAACAAACTTTTCAGTTTTGTTTGTTTTCCATCCATTATTTCAATGACAAATGATTCAAATAACTGGTTAAGTAAGTCACCAAAAAACCTTCTATAACATCTCAACCCTTATTGCGTAAAAAGAAATGGAGAAAAATTCTATTTTACACTAACATCTATAAATGGACTGGCTATAAGATGTGGCATTTTGTGCCTATTTGATTTTCGCCATTTTAGCGTTGACAGTTGCGGTTCGCAGTGGTAGTGTGAAATCAACATATAATATTGATAGATTTTTTTGTAGATCGCTCTTTGACCTGTAATTATATATATATATATAAATATTGTATTGTATTGTATTTAATTAACTCTCAGGAAACATCGAAACGCGCGGTTAAATCGAAACGAAAGAAAAATTTCATTTCAAGCAATCGCCTATCAATCTATAGTGATCAGTGCTATTGTATTATAAATAGAAATTATTACTAACCTCATTGGTGTTGTGCAAGGTAAGATAGTCAATAATTGGTGTGTTTACCTTAATATACCCTTGATAAAATGGATGTCGATGTTTTATAGTCTACAAACTAAAGTACAGCTTGACACTTACAATGGTGTTCTCTGTCTTACCAAATCTGGTATCTTTAAAACAATTGCCAATTTAAGTCGAAATAAACATGTTTATGCACAAAAAATAATTCACATAGTCAATTTTATCTTTGTTCTTATTACGTTTTTCTTAGCAATTATTCTTTTCGTTTTGCTACTGGGGTTTCCCTGCAATTATAATTTTAATATTTTCTCGAAATTATCAAAGAGTTTTGCTTTTAGAAGCAGTGATTTTACAAAACGATATGCTTATCATACCGTATTTTTTAGCATTGTACTAATCTGCAAAAAAACTGTTTGCCACTACAGAAAAAAAAAGGAATATATTTGTTTTTTTGCCGCTTGTAAAGTTCTTAAGAAAAGGGCAATAGGTCATTGTTATTCAAATGCGGAAAAAACAAGTAGATGAAGGTACATTTTACAATAATTTTAAGCCTTTGAAACTACTATTAGAACTCAAATAGATGCTGCATACACATAATTAGCATGATTCAAACCAATAACGAATCTTCAAGGTTAATGAATAAAGCCAAGGTTCATTTCAAAAGAAAACTAGTATACTAAAATACGAATCTTTATACGGAAGAACAAAGACCTTTTATAGTAATCTAAGCTAACTAGCTGTCGCCCGCGACTCCGTCCGCGCGGGTTTAAAATATATAATAGCCGATTCTCAGAGCTATCGAATATATATATATATAAAATTTCATAAAAGTCAAGCCGTTTCGAAGGAGTATGGTAAATAACATTGTGACATGAGAATTTTGTAGATATTGAAAACCAATAGAAACGTATACTAAAGAGAAGGAGCGACTTTATACATCGTTCATTTATAAGACTCTAAAAATGCTGTATAAATTCCAATAAGGGTCCGTTCACACAGACCCAGGCGGAGAGCAGAGCAGTTTTTATCTCAGACAAAATTTATTCTTCGTGCGATTGATACAAGATTTAATTTTCTTTGCACATTTTTTATTACAAGCAATTGTATTTGTTTTCGATATAGAAAGGAATTTACAATATCCGAGACATAAATGTCAGATATATGGTTAAACCTATTCATTTCCTGCAAGGGATAAACGTAGTTATCAGTATTTTAAGACTAATTGTGGATTTTGAATCACAGTTTGTAATAAAGTGGGATCTTGCAGCAGTTAAATGCAGTTTTACGTTTAATTTGGTAACATAATTCAAGTGTTTCGTCGATAAAGACAAGGCGTTAAGCAGATACACGTTTCGTCGTTGAACACCTCGGTGTTCCCGCTGCTCGTTTGCCCTCTTCTGTTATAAAAAAAGACAATTTGTTTATACTAAGTTTGGCTTTAAATGTTTTAAATTTATACATTATTGATTTATTTTTTCAAGGTTGCAATCATTAATTAGCAATACCTAACAATCGAAATGACTCGGTAAAATAATCCTCATTGAAATTTAAATACGATGCCACGGAACGTTCAGTGAACTTAGTGCTTGTCAAATAATTCCCGTAAATATTTGTTTTGGACTTTTCGTTCACGGCAATCGATAATATTAGTAATGATAGGTATAAAAGAATTGAATATACTTAACAAAACTTTTTCTTTTGTTTCAGGTAATACAAAAGTTTTATTCTTTGGTTCACTTGTTTATTCACAAGACTTCTCTTCAAGCAGAGTATTGTTGCCAGTCTCTAACAAGTTTAAACAGAACCATAAACACTTGACATTGGCCCAATCCGATGAGGGAGAGCCATAAACAAGAAACAGAACAGAACAGTTTCTTTGCATGTTGATATTAATAATAAACTAGTAATTCTAAGCGTATATTTATTAAATATTATTTCTCTACTTAGAATCGAATCCGTAATCTAATATTATAAATGTGAATGTTTGGATGGATGTTTGTTAGAAGGTATCTCCAGAACGGCTGCAGGGATCTCGCTGAAATTGGCATAGAAGAATACATAGGCTACATTTTAAATTAATTTCTATTCCGCGCGGATGAAGTCGCGGGCGACAGCTAGTACAAGTTACCTTTTAATATTAAATGTTTATGATATTCTTTATTATTTGTTTACTATGTTCTTTATTTAATTCGATTTAGGTTTTGTTTACATAAAAGGTAGATGGCGCGCGATTTACTACTAGTCTTTATTGGTACTTTGAATATTAATTAAATTGTCCCCAAACAATCAGACAGGTGTGATAATTAATATGACAGCTGCAGGAAACATAGTGCATTTCTATAGTTCTTTCATATTATTTCTCATATTGTAAATATTTTCTTTATCTTTGCGAGCTTTAAGGATTATAGTACTAATTATTTTTAATATATGTTTATCTAAATCCGTTAATATATTCTATTTAAATTAGAATTAAAGCACTGTAATTAAATTGCAAAACAACTACTTCAAAGTACGAAAAAACCTTTTTTTTACCAATGTACAAAAGTTTATAAAAACATAATTTGTTTAACGAGCAGAACGAATTCGCAGGATTTAAGTGTACCCGCTAGTCGCTTAGTTTTAGTAATTCATATACATATAGTTATATGTTTCTATGCAAGAGTTGACAAATAAATAAATTTAGAGCAAAAGTGCTTACCTGATGACAGAGCATGGTGAAGGTGATTTATGATGATGAATAGGCATTATTGTATTTATGGCTGACACTAAAATGAAAGGTAAACACGCTGACATACACACACACGTATTCGAACACTAGCTGTCGCCCGAAACTGTAGGAGGGTTCTCCAAGACTATGTTCTACATGCCGAATTTTAGCGAAATACTAGCAGCCGTTTTGAAGATACCTTCAAACAAACATTCGCATATATAATATTAAGTAAGACATATGAAGGTACTTGAAAATAACTTAAACGATCACTCTATATCATAAACTTTTTATTAATTTTTTCTTGATCATTATTGGCTTATACATATATCCATATTTAATTACTTTAATACATCGCCAAACGCCTAATGTGATGTTTTCTCAATATTTCATTTCAATATCAATATTATATAACGTTTCATGTAAAAAAAACGTAAAAAAAAAGTCTAAAAAATTATACATTAACTAGCGGACCCGACAGACGTTGTCCTGTCTACACGTCTTTAATTTGAATAAATTAATATGAAGTTAATATTTGATGAAAATTGTGAATCTAAACCATTCCCAGATCCCCTTGAACACACACAAAAAATTTCATCAAAATCGGTTCAGTCGTTTGAGAGAAGTTCAGTGACATACACACTCACAGAAGAATTATATATATCAAGATAATCATCACTTATAAACAACTTAACCTAACTTAATCCTATTGACGACGTATACACTAGAGACAGTAGATACGGATAAAGCAAAACAATAAACAAATATTCTCTTAAAGCTGCGCTCCTACTGACAATTGACTTCTTCTGTGGCGCGGCAAACTTGCAGACAGTCATCGGGTAGAGGCAATGAACAGACACCTGTGCAGGCGCACGAGGAGTCAAGTTGAAGACGCGTGAAGCGATGTGATAAAAGAGCGCGATCTTGGCGCGCGCCGCCAGTACCGAGCCGACCGCACGCCGCGCAGGCGCATTCCGCGATCGAAACCCGCACGCCGCGACTTGCACTCGCAACCCCAGCGCCCCCACTAAGTTTACACGGACCGCTCGGGACACTAGATGTCCACTGTCGGGTAGTGACTGTGCTCAACAGCCGGTGCCCATCGCCGCGAGAGGAACGCACGACAACCAAAACATACAACCACAGGTGAGACAATGATGATTCCAACTATAATTATGAAATCACGGTGCGTTGTATGAATCATGTGATGAAGGGAACGACGGCTAGTAAAATTTTTCACGTTTCGTTACATTTAAATTATTTAGTAATAGTTGCATTTGTGCAATCGTGGTAATATTGAAGGTCTAAAATTATTTATTTGATTATAAATAAATGTGGAATCATATGAATGAAAATTGCAATTAATTTACTGAAATTACTTATTACATTATCTCAAACGTTTTAACTAGATTGTACCGATAACGTAAGCTACGTATTCCGTACCAGAAATACATGTTACGCAAACTCTTCTAGCAAATATATAAGAGAACACAAAATTAAGTTATGTACTAAAAAAAATATTAACCAAAAATTTTGTTAAAACTATACAAAGTATTATAACACGAACTCGTTCAAAAAACTATGAAAATGGAATATAAATAATTTACATATTCACAAGATAAATATCCTTTTGACTAATGACGATGATGAAATTACTTAAAAGGCCTTTTCATAGAGCATTGAATACATAGAACTCCGATCAAAGGTCAGTCGGCACGGCGCTCGCGCAAATCCAAACGTAGGAAACGTGAGTTTATACTTTACGATCGCAAATATACAGGTAATGTTGTTTTACCTGGTACGACAGTATTTATAAATTTGAAATGCTCGCGAACGTGCGCGGAACGTCGGTCACCAAACACCACGAGCGATTGTATCTCACCATTCAGCTGGTGCTTGCGACACTTCGCTTCACATGCAACTTCCTTCATAGGTGGAATGATAGTTACCGATGGGTAATAGTAGAAAACGTGCAATAAACGCAACCGTCTAAGAAAGGAGCTCGGTTTTGAAGCCAAGGATTCACCAAGGCGTTCCGAAGACGTTAGTATTCTGTGCGCGTGTGGCGGCGCAAAGCGGTGGACGTGTGACGTAAGGTCACCTCGAGTGGCCACTGACATGTCATGAGATTAACTCGCTTCTACTATCGCCGCGCCGTACTCACTATCGCAATACCTTTTTTCTGTATGATATTCAAATATCAACAAACTTATAGAAAAAGTAAAGTCTCGACAGAGAAATAATTATTTGAAAAATATAAAACTAAATATTTTTTTTTGTTAAATTAGATTGAAATTGTAACCTTGTTTAGTCGTTAGCATTGATACAAAGAGCATACATATAAGAACATTGTTAGCGTTTTCTGACAAGATGTACGCTTTAATTCTTTTTCTATCACAGTCTAAGCTAAAAGTCAAATACCGGTGATATGTTAATTTGAAATTCAATCTGAAACTTACTATGTATTTAGAAGGGTACGACAAATATTTGAGTATAATGTAAATATGCGCAATGTTTACATTTTATGTATATATAATATCTTTCGCTTATCGCAATGTAATAAATCAAAAGCATCTTTTCAACACAAATGGTTTTTTTTTATCATATAATCTTGCAACACAAGAAACATTGAAATTAATTAAATTTATTTGTGACCGTGATCTTTGTAATTTGAAGGTTTTTCTCCCTTTAACGTTTTATTCTAAAACAATCAATTTTGATGTGTAATCATATTATGTAATATGAAAACATATCAATAACCATGACCTTCTAAAAATACAGTAAACATCTTCGCAGTTTTTAATCAAAATATAATAAAAAATCCTATAAATGTAAATTGGAATGAACTTTATTAAGCTAATAGAGAGTAGCTAAAATCGGAAATCCTTGGAAATTAAAATCAAGTTAATATTACAATAATTAAGACGCCAAATCTGAGTTCGAATACAATTTCGTAAACGTCGTCCAACACGCGTCAGGAAATTATCTATATTCAGTAAGAAGTTGATATTGATTCGCCGGTTTTCGGTATAAACAACCGGTTATGTCAATGCCAGTAAAATTTGAATTATTATACCATATCGTATATCCGTTTGCTCATATCTGCCTGAGATAGAGTAAAATTACGTTAATTTTACAATTTAAAGGCCGATGGTCATTCGATAGCGCTCGGACCACAGCGTGTTTATACTGACGCTTAGTTCTATCTTTATTTAAAATCAGTACATGAAATATTTACAAATAATACATATTTCAATATATAACTAAAAACACAAAAAGTTGAAATAAATTCTTTCAACTATGTATATACTCGTATGTTATGTTACAACTATGTATATAAATTATTTGAACAAAAACTTATCTTAAGGCTAATTTACATGACATATAGACAAGAGTGGAAGATGTTAGAGAAGAACAAGAAGAATTGCATGTGACTAGGAGAATTATATGTATGATATAGGAATGGTACACCGGTAGGGGTGTGCCTAGGAAGAAAAAGTGATGATTGAGATGACGGAAGTTAGATCGATCTGAACAAGCAAAACCTAGTGCGCCTACCCTACATGGGATGGGCAGAGAGATTAGTGATGAGTGGAAGATTTATCTAATTCATCCGAATTTGAGCTATGATTTAGTTAAGTGAATTCTAAATATTTTTACCATGTATAATATGGCTATGTATATGTTATATGGATGGCATCTACATAAAGGTGCAATTGTCTTCACATCTATGTGAAAATAATAAAAACAAACATAATCAGACTCCGTGAATTTTCGATATTAGATGATTATCTCTAGGAAGTAATACGTATGTTCACAAAACATTTATTCTATTTAACACGCTACAAATTGTATTTGCATAGAAATTGAGAACATAAAAATATTGCTTATGAATAAAAATACTGTACATAGCTCAATAGAAGACGTAAACTTTCTATATATGTCAATGTCGTACAATAAAATCTAAATAATTTGCCGAAGTATTTGTTAACAGTGTGTTGAATACATAAAGAATCTCTGCGGCTATATGGCGACATCGCAATGGAGGCTATCAATAGCCATTTACTGCATACTAGACCTTCAATTTGATAAATGTGAGGTGACAAATTAGGAGACCCGAGACGAGGATAGTCATTTGATGGTGGACGATGTGAGGGAGCACGTCCGAGTTGACCTCGCGGGTTCGACCTACGCCTGTAAATGTTTACATTTGTGCCGGGCACAGCGCGCGTCGTCCACTGCGGCGCAACGACCAGCCATCAGTTGCAAAATGATCGCGCCCGAATCGAGTTCAGGGTCGTGCGCGTCGCCTCCGGGTGTTGCGCAAACGCCGCGGGTCTGCAGCCGCGCCGACAAGAACGTTCCTCCGCCGCCTACGCCCCTGCAGTCCCGCCACTAACCCCTGAGCACAGTCCAGCTGTCTTACATCAAATCTGAAGTAATGGAACACACCCCACACACCTGATACGTCAATGAAACGAGAAATGCATAGAATTTTAATGAACCTTACGAACGACTTATGGTTCATAACGACCTGTTTATTAAATTTTCAACCTTTATAACGATACAAATCTACTTAATTGACGACGATTAAATATGTGTATAGTAGACGAAAGCTTTCATCAAGATTTAAAGTTTCATTTTTTGTAAATTGGAAAAAAGTAAAAAAAAATTGTAAAAAAGTAAAGCATTTAATGTAAATATTTTTAGTGAGTATCTACATGATCTGTTAATTAAAAAAGACAGCAAATTATACAAATAGACTATGCTAAATAAAACATGTAACAAGTACTTAACTTATTTTATGGCTTGTCCTAAAAATAATGTCGATAACAAGAAAAAGTAAATTCTATTATATTATCGACTTTAATGCGATGAATAAGTAATGCGAAAAAAACCGCTTGTCAGTAATTTTCCAGTTCCGTCAAAAAATTAGCTAAGTTATCGATAAACTCATAAAGAGTTACCTTGTTTTAGCAAATATTGCGAGCCTCGCCTTATTTGTTTATATTCAACTCTGATTTCAATAAAATATATTAAAACAATATCGTAACATTAACGTAATATTATTACGAAAATAGGTAACTGGGTATGTTTAACAATGTTACATTTTAGCAATATTACGAATCGAATAAATTCCATATGAATATAAATTTGCACGTTTAAAGTTTTGTCATATCTTTCTCATATAATAAATTAGTAAGAAGGATGGATTATTGAATGAATGTTTATTAGAAGGTATCTACGGAACGGCTGTACGTATCTGGATGAAGTTAAACACAGATTTAGAACACAGGCTGGAAGAAGACAGACTACGAATTAAGGTTTTTAATCGCGCAGTGAGAGAGACGTGCCCATAGCTAGTTATTCCATAAATTTTATTAGCGTACTTTTTAAAAAAATAGCAGAACGCAACATGCAAATAAAATATCCATTATATTACATACCAATAAATATTAATAAAAATGTATATTTATATAAAAATGATACTTATATCGGTGTATACTCGGTAATATTTACTAAAACATTATTTTATTCATTACTGTATCCAAAATATTATATGCCTGTAACGTAAATTTTGTTTCGCTTAAACAAACATACTAAACGCGCTGTATAATCTAAGAGCAAACATGAACTAAATATTAATCATAGCATGATACGTTGAATGATATGAACTCGGTTGCAATAAACGTTTCACGCCCACAAAGATATCACACTATTTAAAGTGATTAATAGCGTCTCACTGAATTACGGAATCGAGACTACCGTACCCATTGTCTTTGAATACGAGCCTATTCTAAGAGGAATACATTATTCTTTTATTCTGAAAATACATACCTGTCATTGTTTCCATAAACCTTTCAGCGCCCGTTGATGGAGTTTCTTTTATAATGAAAGAATGGGATACTAAGAGACGATCCACCTCATTAATTACTACATCAACGACTCAGTTGCACCTTTCTTAAACTTATAAATGCTTAGATGGATGGATGGATGTTTGTTTGAAGGTATCTCCAGAACGGCTGAACGGATCTCGAGGAAATTTGGCATACATATAGAATATAGTCTGAAAGAACACATAGGCTACGGACGGCGGATTCGGGGGCGACCGCTAGTATCTTACTATTTTGAAGGGATGTTTGTTA